ATCCTTAATGCTTTACTATTGATACAATTTAAATGTGCTGGTTATCCCCTTGATAGAATATATAATATAGATAAAACCGGGCTTTTCTATCGATTGGAACCAGATCGTACTTTGGCAACCCATCATATTGCTGGACACAAAGTAATAGAAAACAGATTTCAATTGCACTATGTGCAAATGCAGACGGCTCACACAAACTAAACCCGTTAGTAATTGGCAAATACCAAAACCCAAGATGCTTTAAAAATATAAATCTTAAAAACATGCTATTCATGTATCAGAACAATGCCAAAGCTTGAATGATTATAATGGTTTTTCAAGACTGGCTTAAAGAATTTGATTGCCAAGTTGGGTTAAGACATAATGGTCAATCTGTAATTTTGCTTTTAAATAAGTGTTCTAGTCATAAGCTTGATTTTTTAAATCTACAATATGTAGATATTCATTTTTTACCTACAAATACAACCTCAAAAATTCAACTGATGGATGCTGTAATAATTATAAGTTTCAAAAGGCACTATCGTTATCATCATATCACCTGGATGTTGCAACAAGTGGAGGAAGGTAATTGAGCAGAAGACTTAAAAATGAATGTTTTACAGGCTATTCGATATACTATTCAAGCTTGGAAGGAAGTAAAGGCTGATACTATTCAAAATTGCTGGCAGTATACTAACATTCTCCCTACAAGCTTTAATACAAATCTATGAAATCTTTCTAAAAACATTAATCAAATTGTTGATTCCGAGATTGATGATCTTGCTACAATGATTGAAAATCTTTATTTTTCAGATCCTATGCAAGTTAAGGAGTTTCTATCTATCTCTAATAAAAATATTGTCTATGAAATTCCTGATGATGATCATACCATTTCAGAGCTTATAGAAATTTTTAAGAAAAGCGATGATATTGAAGATTCAGATGTTGTAGATGTAGATGAAATGGATGATAGCCTGGAGGTTCCTATGATCAGTGCCAATTCTGCTCTTGAAGGTTTAAAAACCGCTTATATATATCTGTTATAGCAAGATAACACAAGCGAGCAATTAAAAT